TACTGCGCGCTTTGAAAATTCATTCCTCCTCTCCTAATAGAGATTAAGAAATGAAACCACTTTCATTCATTGAGAATAGTAGTCTCGATCGATAGATGTTGCTTTCATTCCCTCTTCGCAATTAGGGGGGGGGGAGAAATGAATTTTCCAATCAGGGGAGTCCCTCCGGACTCACTCGACGCCGGAGAACCATTCGGGGTTCCACCGCGCGTTCGAAAATTCATTCCTCCGCTCCTACTAGAGATTAAGGAATGAAACTGTTGTCATTTATTGAGAATTTAATTCTCGATCGATCGGCGTCAGCTTTAATCCTTCATCTTAATTAGGGTGGGAGAAATGAATTTTCCAATCGGGGGAGTCCCTCCGAGCTCACTCGACGTCGGAGAGCCGTTCGAGGTTTCTCCGCGCTTTTGAAAATTCATTCCTCTGCTCCTAACAGAGATTAAGAAATTAAACCGATGTCATTTATTAGAAATACAATTCTCGATCAGTAGGCTTTGGTTTCCTTCATCACAATTAAGAGGGGGGGGGGCGGCGGGAGAAATAATTTGTTCAATCGGGGGAGCCCCTCCGGGCTCACTCGACGCCAGAGAACCGTTCGGAGTTACTCCGCGCTTTTGAAAACACATTCCTCTGCTCCTACTTGAGATTAAGGGATGAAACAGCTGTCGTTTATTGAGAATATAATTCTGGATCGCTAGATATTTCTTTCATCCCTTATTCACAATTAGGGGGGAGGGGAAATGAATCTTGCAATCAGCAGAGCCCCTCCGGGCTCACTCGACGTCGGAGAGCCGTTCAGGGTTTCTCCGCGCTTTTGAAAATTCATTCCTCTGCTCCTACTTGAGATTAAAGGATGAAACGGTTGTCATTTATTGAGAATTTAATTCTCGATCGATCGGCGTCGGCTTCATTCCTTCATCTTAATTAGGGGGGGGGGAGAAACGAATTTTCAAATCGGCCAGGAGGGCCTCCGCTCACTCGACGCCGGAGAACCGTGCGGGGTTACTCCGCGCTTTTGAAAATTCATTCCTCCGCTCCTAACTGAGATTAAGAAATGAAACAGATGTCATCTATTAACAATACAATTCTCGATCGGTAGGTTTTGGTTTCATTCTTTCATCTCAATTAGGGAGGGCAGAAATTAATTTTTGAATGAAAAGAACTTGTCCGGAGTTACTGCGCGCTTTGAAAATTCATTCCTCCGCTCCTAATAGAGATTAAGCAATGAAACCACTGTAATTTTTTGAGAATATAATTCTCCATCGATAGATATTGCTTTCATTCTTTCATCGTAATTAGGGCGGGGGGGAGAAATAAATTTTCCAATCAGAGGAGCCCCTCCGGAGAGCCGTTCGCAATTACTCCGCGCTTTTGAAAATTCATTCCTCCGCTCCTACTTGAGTAGGATAGAATAGAANGCATTCCTCCGCTCCTAACTGAGATTAAGGAATGAAACCCATGTCATTTATTGAAAATACAATTCTCGAACGGTAGGCTTTGGTTTCATTCCTTCATGTCAATTAGGGAGGGGAGAAATTGAGAAATTTTTGAATGACAAGAACTTGTCCGGAGTTACTGCGCGCTTTGAAAATTCATTCCTCCTCTCCTAATAGAGATTAAGAAATGAAACCACTTTCATTCATTGAGAATAGTAGTCTCGATCGATAGATGTTGCTTTCATTCCCTCTTCGCAATTAGGGGGGGGGGAGAAATGAATTTTCCAATCAGGGGAGTCCCTCCGGACTCACTCGACGCCGGAGAACCATTCGGGGTTCCACCGCGCGTTCGAAAATTCATTCCTCCGCTCCTACTAGAGATTAAGGAATGAAACTGTTGTCATTTATTGAGAATTTAATTCTCGATCGATCGGCGTCAGCTTTAATCCTTCATCTTAATTAGGGTGGGAGAAATGAATTTTCCAATCGGGGGAGTCCCTCCGAGCTCACTCGACGTCGGAGAGCCGTTCGAGGTTTCTCCGCGCTTTTGAAAATTCATTCCTCTGCTCCTAACAGAGATTAAGAAATTAAACCGATGTCATTTATTAGAAATACAATTCTCGATCAGTAGGCTTTGGTTTCCTTCATCACAATTAAGAGGGGGGGGGGCGGCGGGAGAAATAATTTGTTCAATCGGGGGAGCCCCTCCGGGCTCACTCGACGCCAGAGAACCGTTCGGAGTTACTCCGCGCTTTTGAAAACACATTCCTCTGCTCCTACTTGAGATTAAGGGATGAAACAGCTGTCGTTTATTGAGAATATAATTCTGGATCGCTAGATATTTCTTTCATCCCTTATTCACAATTAGGGGGGAGGGGAAATGAATCTTGCAATCAGCAGAGCCCCTCCGGGCTCACTCGACGTCGGAGAGCCGTTCAGGGTTTCTCCGCGCTTTTGAAAATTCATTCCTCTGCTCCTACTTGAGATTAAAGGATGAAACGGTTGTCATTTATTGAGAATTTAATTCTCGATCGATCGGCGTCGGCTTCATTCCTTCATCTTAATTAGGGGGGGGGGGAGAAACGAATTTTCAAATCGGCCAGGAGGGCCTCCGCTCACTCGACGCCGGAGAACCGTGCGGGGTTACTCCGCGCTTTTGAAAATTCATTCCTCCGCTCCTAACTGAGATTAAGAAATGAAACAGATGTCATCTATTAACAATACAATTCTCGATCGGTAGGTTTTGGTTTCATTCTTTCATCTCAATTAGGGAGGGCAGAAATTAATTTTTGAATGAAAAGAACTTGTCCGGAGTTACTGCGCGCTTTGAAAATTCATTCCTCCGCTCCTAATAGAGATTAAGCAATGAAACCACTGTAATTTTTTGAGAATATAATTCTCCATCGATAGATATTGCTTTCATTCTTTCATCGTAATTAGGGCGGGGGGGAGAAATAAATTTTCCAATCAGAGGAGCCCCTCCGGAGAGCCGTTCGCAATTACTCCGCGCTTTTGAAAATTCATTCCTCCGCTCCTACTTGAGTAGGATAGAANTCGTTCGGGGTTACTCCGCGCGTCTGAAAATTCATTCCTCCGCTCCTAACTGAGATTAAGAAATGAAACCGATGTCATTTATTAAAAATACCATTCTCGATCAGCAGGTTTTGGTTTCATTCTTTCATCTCAATAAGNGGAAGATCAAAAAATCAATTCAACATTGGGATAAATGGAGCGGAGAGAAAAACGTGAATATCTCGGAAATTAGATGCGATAAAATGGGCCCTTTTCACGTGGACGTACACATATAATTCGACTGAAATTTATAGAAATTTTTAATTTGCAATGACGAAATTCCTTGAAATTTCCGTATTACGGCAACGCGATAAAAATTCGCAATAAGTATTCCCGGAATTTCCGCGAAAAAATTACTGAAACCTACAGACATCATTTCTGAATTCAAGACTTTCCTTTAATCTTCAGGATCATGTCACTGAAATTTTTTAACAGAATAACTTAATTTTAACATTGCTTGCTCATTGCATTTCAGAAATGCAGCTGCCTAAAAAAGACACATCGATTGCTAGGACCAACGTTTTTTTTTTCTCGTTAAATATAGACAATAGAGAAATGTCAGAGTGCAGTGAATAAACTTCACTCGTCAATAACTCCATAATGGCAGAGTGGAATTCCCTGATTTTTTTTCACTCTCGATTAATTTTTTAAAGATTCAAATTGGATACTTGATTCATTCATATCGTCCCATTCCATCGAGAGATATTGTCGATTGGAGACAATTTTTTATGGCCACTGAAGGAGGCAAACGATTCATCTAAATCTCGCAATAATCAGCGAAAAATCTTAGTCATTAATCTATTATTATTGAATTCATCCCATTATGTGTAGATCGATGGAGAACAACGAAAACGTTCCAACCATTCAAACGAGTTAGAATGTTTTGTCTCCCCTTCTTCTCCATTTTCTTCCTCACTCGCACTCGTTAAGTTTGGTGGAGGACGAGCACGTGCCAACGCGACGGAGATGACAATGAGTGGGAGCGAGCGCGATACATATTCCTTTCTCACTCAGGGGGGGAATACCTACATTAGTATACCCGCCTATTTTACCAAAAAAAGTGTACTCGCATTTAGTTCATGCGCCACCACTACGAAAAAATCCAGTCGAAACTTTTACATTGCTGTGGCAGATCTCCCTTATAATCTCTGTCATGGATGTGGCGAACCGGATAGCGGTCTGGGACTGTACGTGCATTGAGTGCAAGGTAGTCTCCGCAGAGTCTCCACTCATCATTCTTTTTCTTTGCCGTATGTACTGCCGATGACCATGGGCTGTTTGAGGGTCGAGCAGTTCGCAGTTGAACCATGGTGTGGAATTCCTACTTGGCATCTGCGAGTCGTTCTGGAGCCAGTCGTCGGGGTTTGCTGATGACCGGTGGTCCTGGTGTGGTCTGGATGTGGTGTTTGATATTGTGCTGCCGAGGCTTGCCTGTCCCGTTTGGTCTGGTGAGGTTGAGGAACTGCTGGAGAAGCTCATGGTACTTTGATGTGCCTGTCACAGTCTTGATGCTCGGAAAGTCGACTGATTCGACTTGACCGAGTGAGGTGAGTAAAGTGAGTGAGTCCACGAGCCTACCGTTGCGAAGTTCCACCATTAGTCCGTAGTGAAGCAGGAAGTCCGCTCCGATGATGGGTTTGGAGACGTCGGCGATGACGAAGCGCCAAGGAAACGTCCGTCGAAGTCTGAGGTTGAGAGCGATGCTGATGGTGCCATACGGTGAAATGATTGGGCCGTTCGCCGCCGACAGTTCGTACGTGGACTTTCGCTGTAGCCCACGCACCAACCGTCGTGGGAAAAGGCACAGGTCTGCCGCGGTGTCGATCAGGAAGCGAATTTTGCTCTCCTAATCAGTGATGAAGAAGCGGCGGGTTGTCGTGCCTGAGTCACTAGCCGCCATCAGTGACTGCTTGTCCCTTTTCCCGGAGTGGCGAAGTTGCAGGGCTGAGTGCAGGTCCTGGCGCTGAATCCAAAGTTCCTTTGGTACCATCAGGGGTCGCTAATTTCTGCCTGCCGGTGCTGGGAACGTGACCTGGCTCTGGCCTGTCTGAAGCCGCCACCCCCTGGATGTCCTCCGTCTGCTCTGATTGACCGTTTGCGGCTCTCGATCTCGCCCCGCATCCTGTTCAACTTCTCGTCGAGAGTGAGGGTCAACTGAGACATCTTGAGGCTCAAGAGTGCCTCAATGCTGTGGGCGTATGCCTTGGCGATCTGTGGAGCAGCTTGTGGGATTCTCGGCTTCAGAATCTGAATCGTTTTGTCGGCGAGTTCTGCGGCATCCTCGAGAGCAGAGTTGCGTTGTGTGGCCAACAACGCCTGGACATTGGCCGGGAGGCGTGTTATCCATAGTGTCCGCAGTGTGTCATCAGGAAAGCTGGCTCCTGCCAGGATGCGTAGGTGATGCAGAAATTGAGATGGTTTCTTGTCTCCCATTTCCGCGCCCTCCAAAAGTCTCCTCGTCGTCTCTTCCTGAGAGGAGCTAAGATGTTTAATGAGCTCCGAATTCAGGTGTGTGTAAGGGTTTTCCAGTGGTGGATTGAGAATGATGTCCCTCACCTCGACAGCGTGCTTCGACTTGGAGAGCTTGCCACATATGTGTCCAAACTTTGTCGCCTCGGAGGTGATGCCGGCTGCGTGGAAGTTGTGTTCGGCAATGCTGAAGAACAGCTCTGGGTCTTCTGGAGTAAACTCTTCTAGTTGAAGAGCCACCCGACCGATCTGAGCCATTCCGTCAACCAGTAGGCTCTGCTGTTGCTCCGGGCTCATCATGGGAAGCAGCGACTGTTGGATAGGGTCTGCGATGACTGCCGGAACCGGTGTAACTGTCGCTGGGCTGTTCTGCAGCTGCGCTGGTGCGTCTCGCTCCAAGATCATCAGATCCTCTGGGTTGCTGACTGCTCGATGTCCACGATTTCAATTTTAGATCACGTCGGGGTCACCAAATTGTGGAGGTGAGCAGGTTGGTGGAAAGATATGTAGTCCAGCGTTGAGTGAAATTGAGTTTATTATGTTTCCTTGAGCTTCTTTTTATGTACAAAATATACAAAGTTGTCGGGAGCGTAAGTCGTAAGGGTGTTGGTAGACTATACGGTCCCTTTCTCAATATAAATTTTATATTTGGGAATTTTTGGGATCCGATGCCAGCCACGTTTACGCCGTGGGTCCTGGGTAATGCCAACAGCTGGGAAGGCTCGTAATTCGATGCTTTACCATGCTCGGGAATTTAGAAAATGACTAGATTTTAATCAATTTATTAAAATAAATTTGCCTTATGAAGGAAGGTAGCGAAATGGGAGGTCCCGTACACCTACCCGGCCACTTATATAATTATATAAAGTGTTCCGAAGAGTCCTAAATTCACCTCTGGTAACCCACTCCCCATGAGATAATTTCTAGCAGGGTATCTAGCAAGGGGTACGTATTGTCTACCATAAAAACCATATATGGTGTTGGTAGACCATACGGTCCTTTTCTCAATATAAATTTTATATTTGGGAATTTTCGGGATCCGATGCCAGCCACGTCCGCGCCGTGGGTCCTGGGTAACGCCAAGGTCTGGTAAGGCTCGTAATTCGATGCTTTACCATGCTCGGGAATTTAGAAAGTGACTATATTTGAATTAATTTATTAAAATAAATTTGCTTTATGAAGGAAGGTGGAGAAATGGGAGGTGCCGTACACCTACCCGGCCACTTATGTGATATTCCATGTCAACTCATCAACACCGGATTTTTTTTTGTCTGGGAAAAATCATTGAGTAGGTGTATTTTGAACTACTACATATAGACAGTAATCATGCAAAATTTCATTGCCCTGCCACTTTTTGTTTCTGAGAAAATCATTATGAAACTTGAAATTTTCAAAAAAATATTACTTCTGAATGGAGCATCCGATTTTGCTAAATAAAAAAAAAAAATTTTCTTTTTTTCTTGTACTTCAAGATAAAAAATACTTCAGAGCCGTCAAAAAGTTCCTAGACCGGTTTTTCGAGAATGGTTCGCGTTTTCATTTCTTTTCACTCTAGGGCCGCTCGATATTCGATCGAAATATTTTTTTTATGATAGAGGATGTCCTTATATGATATGAAAAAAATACGCCATAATGGGAGAGCGAAGCAATGCACCGGAAAATTTTTTTTTGTTTCGAAATTTTTGGGTTTTTCAGTTTTTAGGGGAGATCCATCGGTTTTTTTTAAAGAAATGAGTCTGTCAATCATTATTCTTTGTTCATATATGATGACATAAGACACCATTATGTAACGGAGAAATAGTGCGCTGAAAAAAAATCTTTTATCGAAATTTTTACTGAAAGGATAGATAGTTGAATTGAACATTATCGTCATTCGAAGTTTGCTAAATTATGATCAAACAAATGAGAGGAATAAACAAACGGAATCAATCAATTGATTTATCATCATCAGTCGGTTCCAAGGCTTTAATTCTAGAAAAAAACCTGAATTTCTCGATTGATTTTTTATCACCATACGATTCTGTGTGGATGGATTACCGAGCTCCTATCTTATTCTATTCTTGCAACGAGGTAAGGAATTTTCACGTTGATTATATAGAAATGATCTTTATTCTCGGAATTGATATCTTCGGATTTCATAGAATGCCGCGGAGTGATAGATGTGTGAATCCAATGCGGGCTCCTGCTGAGAAGGGATACCTCGTTTATAATTTACGTCCGATTTTCTTGACACTACACGAGAAATTTCCTTTTTTACCATTGTCTGTGAAAATTGTGGTCACTGCCGAACGTGAGCTCCAACTTATGTCATTTCTCCATGTGTCCCCACGGTTAAACTTAATGCTACACATCTTCAGCTTTCGGAAAGTCCACCCGGTATATCAATGCTCCAAGCCAAAACATGTGACCCAAGTCTGGATGTGATGAACAGTTCTCTGAGATCAGGTCGATCTTTCCATCTTGATGATTCCTGCATATCAATCGACGACGAACCAGACGATGAAGCTGAATTCGACAGCTCTTCCATGGATTATGATTCGGAAGATGACCAAAGTGACATTGATCCATCTTCATCTAAGCAGTATCGATCTGCGAGAGAAATAGAATTAGAAGAAATGTTGGATGGTTTGAAGCAGAAATTCAAAGATCTGAAAAACTACCGTTGAGCGCCTGCAAATCTTGACGGTTCATCCACAGTCGTGGAGTGCGCGGAAAATTGCTTCTGAATTTGGAACTATCAGATGCATGGCGTCAAGAGCGAAAAGATTGAAAAAAATTAAAGAGTGTTTGCTTCACCAATTGCGAAAGCAGGTCATTCACTACCCAGCACAACCGTCGAGAAGGTACACAATTTTTACCTAGAGCACAGTCGCGTCATGCCAGGAATGAAAGATAAAATATCCATCAAGATTAATGGAGAGAAGAAAGTAGAGCAAAAGGGAATGATAGCCGAAAATCTAAAAGTCCTTCATCGGAAGTACAACCATGCGAATGAAGATGCTAAGGTCGGTTTCAGTAAGTTTGCCGAGCTGAGACCTAAACAATGTGTATTGGCGGGAGCAAATGGCACTCACGTGGTATGTGTTTGTACGTATCATCAAAATTGCAAATTGATGCTAGAGGCAATTAATATTACGACTCTAACTCAAGATTCCCCCTGTCCACTCAGAGATTACAAAGATTGTCTAGCAAAATTGATGTGTACAAATCCAACCCCGGCCTGTCATCTGAATGAATGTAACGATTGTCCTGGAGTGAAATCATTATCATGTNCAAATCCAACCCCGGCCTGTCATCTGAATGAATGTAACGATTGTCATGGGGTGAAATAATTATCATATGAACTGAAGAAACTTCTCTCTGATTCTGTCATGGAAATGGTCGAATTTCGCGTGTGGCAAAGTACTGACAGGTGTACCTTGCAGACACAGACCCTCCCGATGGATGAATTCATTGATCTTCTAATGGAACGATTGATAGTATTGAAGCCCCATCACTTCATCGCTAAAGAACAATCGGCTTTTGTCAAACAGCGAAAAGAGAATTTGGATAATGGAGAAGTACTAGTGCATTGTGATTTTTCGGAAAATTACGCTTTTGTGGCTCAAGATGCTGCTCAATCCTTCCACTACAATAATAACCAGTGTACAGTTCATCCCGTTGTTGAGTACTATCGCGAAGAAAATGAAATCCTACATCGGAGTTTAGTCGTTTTGTCGGACAGTACGACTCACGATACTGCCGCTGTTTATTTGATACAGAAGATTTTAATACAGCATGTGAAAGACAACTGTGAAAGCGTGGAGAAAATTATCTATGTCACCGATGGAGCTGCACAACATTACAAGAATCGTTTTCAGATCACGAATCTCTTGCATCACAAGACTGATTTTGGCATAGATGCGGAAGCCCATTTTCATGCAACCGCGCACGGTAAAGGAGCTTGTGACGGAGTAGGAGCTGTCTTTAAGAGAGAAGCGAGACGTAAGAGCTTGCAAATCGTTCATGGTGAACCAATTCTCACGCCAGATGCTTTGTTTCGATGGTCAAAAGAGAATTTTGAAGGAATCCATGTTTTTTTTCACCAAGGCAGAACACGAGAATATCAAAACTGAGTTGAGAGAGAGATTTGATAGTGCCAAAGCTATTCCAGCCATTCAAAAACAGCATCGTTTTATTCCGATACGAGGAGAGCAATTGTGAATTAAACGATATTGGGCTTCGGCTAACGAGGAGGTTTTCCCAAAGCAAAAACAAACAACAACAAAACGAAAAACCCGCAGAAGACAGTAATCGTGATGTAAATAATTCATCAGTGCATGTTGGAACTTGTCGTCGAAGAGAGTGGAGAATTTCTCCGTATTGTAAAAATGTAAAAATGTGAAAATATAAAATGTTGTTGTTATAGAAGAATAAAAATTGTTTTTTTCCCATACTTTTTCGTTAGTGGAAAGCACAGTGTGTTGTTGAGAAGAGATTCATAGTCGTATCAATAGTCTATTCTATCCAGCAGAACAGAAAATGTCTATTGACAAACCCCTTTTTCAGTAACAATAATGCAACTCTCCTAAACGACAGACAAACGTAAAAATTTCGAAGAAAAATTTTTTTTGGAGCATTCTTTCTCTCTTACATGATGGCGTACTCTTTTGCCATCATATATGAACAAAGAATAATAGTTGACACATTGATTTCTTTGAAAAAAACCGATTGATCCCCCCTAAAAAACTGAAAAACCCAAAAATTTCGAAAAAAAAAAATTTCCCGGTGCATTGCTTCCCTCTTCCATTATGGCGTTTTTTTTTCATATTATATAAGGGCATCCTCTATCTTAAAAAAAATATTTCGATCGAATATCGAGCGGCCCTAGAGTGAAAAAAAAATGAAAACGCGAAAAATTCTCGAAAAACCGGTCTAGGAGCTTCTTGACGACTCTGAAGAATTTTTTATCTTGAAGTACGAGAAAAAACAACATTTTTTTTTTATTCATCAAAATAGGATGCTCTATTCAGAAGTAATGATTTTTTGAAAATTTCAATTTTCATAATGATTATCTCATAAACAAAAAGTGGCAGAGCAATGAAATTTTGCATGATCACTGTCTATATTTAGTAGTTCAAAATTCACCTACTTAATGATTTTTCCCAGACAAAAAAAAATCCAGTGTGGCCGAGTTGATACGGAATGTCCCTTATATAATTACATAAAGTATTCTGAAGAGTCCTACATTCACCTCTGGCAATTCAGTCCCCATGAGACAATTTCTAGCAGGGTATCTGGCAGGGATACGTATTGTCTACCAAAACCATATATGGTGTTGGTAGACTATACGGTCCCTTTCGCAATATACATTTTATATTTGGGAATTTTTGGAATCCGATGCCAGCCACCTCCGCGCCGTGGGT